TATGATTTAAAATATATTAATTCCTTCCGAAAGAATGATTTAAAATATATTAATTCCTTCCGAAAGAATGATTTAAAATATATTGATTCCTTCCGAAAGAATGATTTAAAATATATTAATTCCTTTAAGAGAAAAGGAAAGCACTTTTATTCAACAAGAACTGCCGATAGAGTCCACTGGAATAGCGGCACTTGCAGCACTTAGTTGGATATCTGTGGCTTCTCAAATTCAGTTCTAGCCAAGCAGCAACCTGCTGCTGCAGCGCAGCAGCAGCAGCAGCAACCTGCTGCTGCAGCGCAGCAGCAGCAGCAGCAACCTGCTGCTGCTGCTGCGCTGCAGCAGATGAATCTGCACAGAAAGCTGCCTGGGCTCTGGACTCTTTGCTGCAGTTCATGTTGGGGCTGTGGACTCTTTTTGCTGCAGTTCAAGTTGGGGAAAGTGCCTCTGAGGAGCAGCTTCAAAGTGGTATTATTGCTAGAACTTCATTATTATCTAAATTAGATAATAATACTACATTAGATAATCTTATAAAAATATTTTAATTATAAATATCTTTTTTAAATTACCAGCACTGGGCAGGTGTCAGCCCATAGTTGGTTCTTTTGCATGAAACTGCAACAAGTCTTAAGTTGCTGCTGCTTGTTTGGCTTTCTTTCCACAACTGAACCCCCACTTTAATAAAAGATCTTCTCCACTTTTTTCTAATATTTCAATTCCCTAAAAAGCTCCGCTTTGCAAGTTTTGAAATGCCACAAATTCAAAAGCCGGAATGCCCGAGAAAGAAAGGTTTAGAGTGTTGTCTTGGGGCTCTCGATATGGACTTTTGGGGCCACTTGGGTATACTTTTTTGTTTTGTTTTGCTTTTTTCTGTCCACAAAAGCCACGAAATATATTTAATATTATATTCTGTTGATATATTAAGTGTTATATTCATGTAATTTGTGAAACTCGCAGGTGGGAGAAAGAAAAAACAAACAGAAAAGCTTGCACGAGTGTAGCCTTGAGATCCTCCATTTCTTCTCTTCTTTTTTCAATTATCTTCATGTTTTCTACTCTGACTTTACTTTAATATTTACTTTTATGTTTTAATTCTTTTCCTGCTGAGCCTTTTGTCCTCATAATTAATAATTAAGTTCCTTCTTGATCAATGTTTTGCAAATTTGCTCAGTTTCAGCGTTTTGCATTCTATGAAGCCGTTTTGCTGTCGATTTTTTGACAAGTGGCTGCTGTTTTGTCTATAGCGATCGAAAAAACTTGTACAAAAATGCAGATTTATTCTTTTGCCTTTTCTATTTCTTTCGGACATTCATAAAGTACCTTTTCTTGCACTTCTTGAAGAGATCTTACCCACAATGCTTCCCCTCCAGCTTGCACCCCTGCCTGTGCAAGAATTTAAAACACTTTCTTTAATCTTTATTCTGTGACTTTGTCTTTTACACTCATTTCTGTGTTACTTCAACCATCTAGAAGTCCCACATAAGGGCTAGGCTGAGCCAAGTTGTCTACATTTAAGTTTAAATCAGAAAAGTCTGTTTATTAAAAGCTTTCTGCAAAAGACTGGTCTTTAGACTGCTGCATTATCTTAGGGAAGATTCTCTTGCTTTGCATGCTTTCTTTCTTCAAAGTGGAAGCAAATGCATGCAATTGATTTATCTGTAAATATTTTATTTAATTTCAAAATGTTTTATTTCAAACTGCACAGGATTGGCAAAAGTGCTCTTCAGATTTCCCTTTAGTTCAATTTGAAAATAAGTACTGTTGCAGATTACCGAATTAATTCAAAATTATTTTAATTGAAGTCTTTTGCCCTTTTGATTTCGTTTCTGAGAAGCACTTAATCTGCAAAACAGTGATGGGGTTGTTATGAACTGCTGCAGCCTTGCTTGTTGCTGCGAAACTCTTGTGCTGCTGCTGCTGCTGCTGCTGCTGTTTGCTGCTGCTGCTGCTGCTGTTTACTGCTGCTGCTGCAGTTTGCTGCTGCTGTGCTTGCAGGGAAATATGGCATCCAGGCCGCCAGCAGCAATTTGAATAGCACTGCTGCTGAAGCTTTCAGAGGAAGCTGCAGCAGAGGAATGGCAAAAACTGCAGCTTCTTGCGCTTCTTTTTTAGATCCAAGAGTTTTAAATAATTTATATTTTCTTTTTTTATTTTTCAAGAGTTTTAAATAATTTTTATTTTCTTTTTTTATTTTTCAAGATGAACTTTCCTTCGAAAGATCCACGAGCTGCAGAGCCTGCTGGTGTGCAGATCGCCAGAGTTTCCTGACTTCATTAAAAATAAATATTTGAATTATATTCTTTTTCTGAAACTCTTAACTTGAAAAAAATATTTGAATTAGAGTATTAGAGTGCTGCTTACTTGGACTTTCTTTGCTTTTTCCAGAAATGGAATTAAAAACATTTTGTTTTAAAAGTACAAATTCATTCAACTCAACTTTACGCAAACAGCTTCCGACAAACGGCAGCAAAAATGCCATTTTCTTTCTCAAGAATTCTTGTCTCACAAACAACACCAATTCCGCGATGCGGAACACCTCAAATCCGTTCGCAATGCAGCAGCAGCAGCAGCTGCTGCTGCTGCTGCTGCTGCCCCTAGCCGCCGCAGCAGCAGCAGCAGCTGCTGCTGCTGCCCCTAGCCGCCGCAGCAGCAGCAGCAGCTGCTGCTGCCCCTAGCCTCCGCAGCAGCAGCAGCTGCTGCTGCTGGGGCTGCTGCCGCGAGCTGATTACGCGCTGTTACTGCCAGCTGCAGCAGCAGCAGCAGCCGCTGCTGCTGCTGCTGCTGCTGCTGCTGCTGCCGTTAGCAACTTGAGCACTTTTATTGGCATTTGCGAGGAAGACTTTCGAAAGTAAATCCCATTTAGTTCGTTCAAACCCCAGACTTCAGCAACAAAACAGCAAACTCTTTTCCCTAAATGCATGCAAATGCATGCAAAGGAAGCAAAAGGCACTTCTTCGAGGGGAGAAAAAGGCAAGAAAGAGGCAAGCCAAACGGCCTCCAAGAAAAGTGCTGCTGCAGTGGACCACTGGTCAAGACCAGTGGTCCACTGCAGCAGCAGGGCCTGCAAACATTTGCCACTCCCCAGGAGGTGCCTGTGGCCAGCCAGCCACAGCCAACAAATGCGAGACAAGCTGCACTTGAGCGAGTCTTTGCTGCTGCTGCTGCTGCTGCTGCTGCTGCTGCTGCTGCAGCAGCAGCAGCAGCCCGCAACGCGTCGCCAAGCAGCAGAGGCGCGGGCCCCTTGCTGCGAAAGCAGCAACTATTCCTTTCTTTGACAGGAGGAGTTGAAGAAGGACTTGTTGGAAAATTCGTTTTAAATTGGTTTTGAATTTCCAATCAGAAAGCCCCCAAGTCCCTTTCTTCAAACGGGAAAAGCCGCAAAAGCCCCTGCTCCAGCCCCAAGAAAGCGCTGCATGCATGCATGCATGCATGCATGCACGCATGCATGCATGCATGCATGCATGCGCGCATGCCTCTGCAATGCATGCATGCATGTACTGCGAGCGCATGCATGCATGCATGCACTGCGAGAGCATGCATGCATGCATGAAATGGTATCCATGCACGCATGCATGCATGCATGAAATGGTATCCATGCATGCATGCATGCATGCATGCATGTAGGAAAGCCCCGTGCAGCGGGGCTGAGCAAGTCGGGGAATTCCTCGAGGATTTCGGCGGCGCGAATGCGGTGGGCGCGGGCGGGGTGGAGGAGGCGGAGGATGAGCTGCTGCCACCTGTGGGGCACTTGCGCGTGCTGCAGCTGCTGCTGCGCTGCTGCTGCTGCTGCTGCTGCTGCTGCTTCGTCGGCCAGCAGCAGCCGCGCCTGGCGCGCTGCGCGCCCCAGCCAGCCGCGGCCCGCGGGCTCCCCGTAGGGCTTGCTGCTGCCGGTGAAGAGGTCGAAGAGCAGCAGCCCGAGGGCCCACAAGTTGGCGGTTTGCTGCAGCAAAATGGGCTTTGCTGCAGCAACTTGCAGCGCCAACTCGGGCTCCAAAGCCTCGGAAACAGCCCCCATTAAGGGGCTTATTGGCTCCCCAAAAGCAGCACTGCTGCGCAAATCGCCAAGACAAAAAGTCCCGTCTTTGCGCAAAAAGAAACTCCCCCACTGCAGGTTTGCGTGGCCCACTTTGCTGCGCTCCAGCAGCAGCACGACGTGCAGCAGCCGCCGCGCAATGTAGTTTGCTGCAGCAGCAAAGCTGCTGCGGGCTTCGCTGCGCAGCTGCAGCAGAGTCCCCAGGGGCCTCTCTGTCAAACTAAGTTTATTAAAAACATAAAACCCTTCCAAGTTGGAGACCAGGGGGGCCCCCCTGGCCTGCGCCTGCTGCTGCGGCAGCAGCAGCCCGCGGTCTGCTGCTGCTGCTGCTGCGCTGCTGCTGCTGCAGCTCGCCTGCGCTGCTGCTGCTGCCGCTTCAATCCGCTCCAACGCTGTCTCCACCAACTCTTCTTCCGACTCGAAGTTCAATAAACGAGCTTCACTTATTACGGGAACTTCAACGGCAAACTCTTCTTTGCTTTCCAAGTCTTCTCCCAAAAACTCCAACACTCGGTTGTTCGATCCCAACACCTTCACCACACGCACTTCACGGGGGCCCCACGGGGCCCCCCGCTTCTTCCGGGGGCCCCCCTCCCCCTGGGGGCCCCCCTGGGGGCCCCCCTGGGGCCCCCCCTGGGGCCCCCCCTGGGGGCCCCCCTGGGGCTCCCCCTGGGGGCCCCCCTGGGGGCCTCCCTGGGGGCCCCCCTGGGGGCCTCCCTGGGGGCCCCCCTGGGGGCCTCCCTGGGGGCCCCCCTGGGGCCACCCCTGGGGGCCCCCCTGGGGGCCCCTCCGGGGGGCCCCCTGGGAGCCCTCGGAGGCCTCCAGCGTGAGCGTGAGGCCCTCGAGCGAAGAGGCCTTGCCGTTGGAGAGGGCCAGGGCCACCGCCCGAGACCGCTGGACTGACCACTGGTCAAGGGGGGCCTCGCGGGGCCTCCAAGCCGCCAAGAGGGCCTTCTCCTGGTGCAGCAAAGGAGACAGCCAGCTCTCGAACTTGCGGAGAGGAGTGAACTCGGGGGACTCCGCGGGCTCGGGCTCCTCCTCGGAGTCCTCGGAGTCCTGCTGCTGCTGCTGCTGCTGCTGCTGCTGCTGCTGCTGCTGCGGAGGGGGGGCCCCCGGCTGCTGCGGCGGCGGCGGCGGCAGCGCCCCCCGCCGCTGCGGCGGCAGCAGCGCGGGGGGCCCCCACGCGAAGACCCGCGGGGGGGCCCCCAGCCCGCTGCGCGCTGCAGCGCGGAGGGCCCTGCGGGTCAACGCTGCGAAAAGCACAACTCCCAGGAGGCCCCAAATGAGGGAATTGAATTCGGGGCGGCTTCTTCTCCACCTGCGGGGCAGAGTGAGGAGTTTGCTGGCTTCGAAAGCCTCCAGATCTTCGCCCGCAGCGGCCTCCGGGGCCTCGGAACTGCTCCAAAAGGACCCCTCCGCACGCGCCGGCCCGTAGTTGACCGCCACGCCGGCCTCCGAGACGCCCGACCCGCCTCTCGAAAACATATTGGCGAAAAAAAGGGGAAAAAAAGATCTTTTGGAGTGTCCATGCGGTCCGCAGGCTCGACCGCGCGCCGCAGCTGTCGATACACCCCGCTACTGCGCCCCGGGCTGGTCACGGGAGCCTCGCCGCCGCAGCGCAGATCTTCCGGGAAATAAAAACATTGGAAAACAAACTAATGAATAAAAAAGACTTCTTTCGGCTTTTATTTCTCCAAAAAGCCCCAAGTAGCCCCCGAGAACGGCGGGCTGCCGCCGCCCTGCGCAGCGCCCGCGGAAACTTGAACAACTCACACCAACTCAGGTTTCCCCGCATGCACACACCCGCGGAAAGCTAATGCTCCTTTTAATTCCAATTTTAATTCAATTTTATTCCGTTTTATCGAACTTATTCGAATTCGACGCAAATTCGCGAAGGCGGGAAGCTGGGGTTTGCAGCCCCCAACATGCCACAGTTCAACTTCGCCGCCCCAGGCAATTTCGACCTACAGGCGCTGATTAAAACATAATTATTAATTATTTAAATCAAAATTATTATTTTCTTCAAATTTATTTGCTCTTTTCCGCTCTTCTTCCCCGGGAAGAAGAGCGGAAGACAGCCGTGCAAACATGTGGATACTGAGGTGTATGTACACTTAGAGCCTTTTATCTTTCACCACACTTGGCTCCAGCTGCCTCTCCCTGCGGCTGCGCGAGAGCCGCAGCAGCAGCGCTGCAGCAGCAGCAGCAGCGCTGCAGCAGCAGCAGCAGAACTGCAGACGATGCCCCGGGTCACCCAGAGCGGGGGTGGCGGCAGCAGCAGCAGGTGCAACGCAGCAGCAGGCGCAGCAGCAGCACCCACGCAGCAAGGCCTCCAGCCTCACAACTCGGCCAGCCGCTGCTCTGCTGCTAGCCACTCTTGCTAGCTAGCCAGCTAGCTAGCCAGCTAGCTAGCCAGCTAGCCACCTAACTGGAGTGCGTAGCAGCAGGCTAGTTGGGTGTCCGCGCTTAAGAGCCCCAGCAGGTCTGCTGCTGCTGCTGCTGCTGCTGCTGCTGCTGCAGCGCATGCACCCAAGGCTGCAGCCCCTAGCGAAAAGCCTGGGGCTGTTTCCCCTGCTGCTGCCTCTAGGCCTACTCTGCTTCCCTACAGCTGCCTGTCTGTTTCTGCTGCTGCTGCTGCTGCTGCTGCTGCTGCTGCTAGTTCTGCTGCTGCTGCTCTTGCTGCTGCCGCCTCTTGTGTCCATACACTTTGTTTCTAGTTCGCCTCCCGCGAGCACTGGCCCCGCAGCTGAGGGCCTCTGCAGCACTCAAGCCAAAATCAAAATTAAGATGCACTGCTGCTGCTGCTGCTGCTGCTGCTGCTGCTGCAGCTGCTCTGCCCCGCTGCTGCAGGTGCAGCCACCGCTGCTGCTGCTGCTGCGGACAAGATTCGCTGCAGCTGCTGCTACAGCCGAAGAGCAGCAGAAGCAGCAAACTGTCCCACAGTGCCCTTGCTGCACGGTGGCGAAGAACACAACTTCTCAGGTTTTCCTGCTGCAGCTGCTGCTGCAGCTGCTGCTGCTGCTGCTGCAGCTGCAGCAGCAGCAGCAGCAAACTGCCTAGCGCTCATCAACGCGCCCCTTTCAGTTATTCTTAACGTCTCTGCTGCATGCAGCAGATCGACCACTCTAAAGCCCCAAATTCTGCCCGCCCCGGTGCCTTCCCCGCATGCACTTCTTATCTTGCATGCACTCATTCATCCCCCCATGCATGCATGGTTGCATGCAATTTAGTTGTCACTGGGCAGCTCCCACAGTTTGACGGTTTTGTCCATTGAGGCGGTCAAGAGCATTTTTTCGCCTTCGACAAATCTGAGTTTCGAAGCAGCAAAAGAAATAAAAGCAGCAGCAGCAAAGATAAAAGCAGCAGCAAAAGAAATAAAAGCAGCAGCAAAAGAAATAAAAGCAGCAGCAAAAGAAACAAAAGCAGCAGCAAAAGAAATAAACGCAGCAGCAAAAGAAATAAAAGCAGCAGCAAAAGAATGCAGCAAAAGAATGCAGCAGAAGCAGCAGCAAAAGGAACCCAAGAAGCAGCAACAAGACACAAGCCGCAGCAGACGCGTAAGACGCCCGCAGCAGCAGCAAGCGCATGCATGCCTGCATGCATGCATGCATGCATCCACGCATGCATGCATGCATTTGCTGCATGCATGCATGCATGCATACATGCCCGCGTTTGCTGCATGCATGCACGCATGCATACATGCATGCGTTTGGTGCATGCATGCATGCATGCATGCAGCAGCGAGCAGCAAGCCGCGCCCCGCTTCCCGCAGCCTCCCCCGAAACCCCAAACCCTAAACCCTAAACCCTAAACCCTAAACCCTCACGCGCAGTCCATGACGGCGTCGGTGTGCCCCTGGAGCGTGGCGACTGGGGCTGCATGCGCTCTGCTTTCGAAGTTGTAAATGTGCACAACTCCAGAAGAAGTGCATGCAGCAACAAAAAGCCCCGAGTTGTCAAATGCTGCTGCAGTCACGGGGTCTTTGCTGCTGCTGCTGCTGCTGCTGCTGCTGCTGTCGGCGGCCACCTGCAGCGTCTGGAAAGCAGCGGACTTCCGCAGGTCCCACAGACGCACCTGCGCGCACACCCAAACCCTAAACCCTAAACCCTAAACCCTAACCCCTAAACCCTAAACCCTAAACCCCAAGCACTACGCGCTACAGGCTGGAGGTCTCCAAGTGTTTGCAACACCCTCCCCCGCTCTCCCCCAAGTCGCCCGGACCGCACCCAAACCCCAAACCCCAAACCCTAAACCCCAAACCCTAAACCCTAAACCCTAAACCCTAAACCCTAAACCCTCCCCGCCGCCCGTAAACTGCACCCAGCCCCCAAAGCCCCGCCCCACCCCCCACTCC